GACTGACCTGGGAGAGAGGCCTCGTTCTCCTCCAGTTCTGTACGTCGACAACAAGGCTGCCATTGCCTTGTGTGAGGAGCACAGACTGGAGCACGGAACGAAGCACATCGCTCTGCGTTACTTCCTGGCTCGAGAGTTGCAGCAGCGAGGTCAGCTTCGTCTTGCTCACGTGGCCACTCGGGCCAACACTGCTGATATCTTCAGCAAGGCACTTCCGTATGGTGATCATCAACACTTATGTACTTTGTTAGGCCTTGTGCCTACGTTTCCGCACTTGCTGTAGACTTGCTTGTGTCAGAATATTATGCTCTAGCCTGTAGTGGGGTGCTCTGTAGCGAGTACAACCCTTCTAGGGTTTGCTATTTGTATCCCCATTCTTACTAGTGCAACCCCTCCTTTCTTCATTCTTACTTTCTACAGCTAGTTCTCAACATGGCATCAGAGCTTAACGTTCCTGGCCTGTGGGCCCACTTCACTGCTTCCGCTGCTACTGCTACTCCCTGTCCGCCGCGCGCCCCGTGGTGCGCGGCGTCGAAACTAGGGTTTTCAGCCCGCCGTGCGCCCCGAGGCGCGCGGCGGTTTTCTGCCCGCCGTGCGCCCCGAGGCGCGCGGCGGTTCTCTGCCCGCCGTGTGCCCCGAGGCGCGCGACGGGTTCCTGCCCCGTCACTCGGCACGTCGCCCCCGGGAGGCGCTGCGACGGGCGACGGGGACCCGCGCGTCGCCCCCCGTCGCCCGTCGTGGCCTGCGCGCGGCCCGTACACCCGGCGCGCGGCCCGTACGGGCTGCGCCAGGCCTGCGCGCGGCCCGTACGGGCTGCGCCAGGCCCGCGCGCGGCCCGTACGGGCTGCGCCAGGCACGCGCGCGGCCCGTACGGGCTGCGCCAGTCCCGCGCGCGGCTCGGACCGCCTGCGCGCGGTTCGGGAGGCTGTGCCAGGCCCGTGGGCGCCCCGTTCTTCGCTGCCCCTGTCCTCCCCGCTGTCCCCCGTGCTTCTGAAGGCGCCCCACCCCTCCTTCTGCCCGTTCTCCTGGATTAGGGTTTGGGGTTGGGGGGTATGGGGGTGCAGCTTCTGTGTGCCGTTCCCTGCTCCTCCTCCTCCTCCGTCTCCCTGTGCTGCAGCTGCCGCTGAGGGGGGTGGACCTGTTGGAGCCGTTGGAGTGGTACTAAGGGGGGGTGAAGGGGGAGTGGAGCTAGCGGTGTAGCAGCGGGTGTGTGTCGAGGGATGTGGGACTGTTGGGGGAGGTTGAGGGGAGGTTGCCGTCGTGTCGTACGCAGCGCCTGTACTCCGGGGCACTCACTCCCGGTAGCTCAGAGAGCCGGTTGCGCTGTCGCCTGTGGGTCCGTTGCTCCTGCTGCTCGTCTTAGCCGCGGAGCCTGTTACTCCTGTACTCCGGGGCACTCACTCCCGGTAGCCACTGTGTCGCACCAGAGCCGTCTGTTGCCCGTGTGACTGCAGCTTCAGTCGTCGCCTCCCATCTACTCTCCTCTCGCCAGCCCTCCTCCTCCTCACTTGCCCGTTGTGACTACCACTAGCTTTGCTCATAATTGTGAACTTTAAACTATTGCTTCTTAAACTTGTGCTCAGAATGTGTGGTGACATTGTGATCCACCCTGAGCTTGTACTGCTTTGCTTGCTCTGCTGATTACACCCCACTTTGGCTATGGGGGTGTGTCAGAATATTATGCTCTAGCCTGTAGTGGGGTGCTCTGTAGCGAGTACAACCCTTCTAGGGTTTGCTATTTGTATCCCCATTCTTGCTAGTGCAACCCCTCTCTTTCGCCTAAACTCTCTTGCCTAGCTAGGACTCTCCTAGCTATGGCTCCTAAGACTACCGCTTATCTCAACAGCTTGTAGTGTGATATACATATAGATATATATATATATATATATATATATATATATACCTGCATGCTTGCTCTTGCTAGGTAGTGATCAATATTCTGTTGTTGTTGCATATATGCCTCTGCATGTGAACTGGCCTTGTGGCCCTTTGCTTGTGCTCAGTGTGTGTGGTGACGTTTTGATCCACCATGACCTTGCTTTGCTTCTCTTGACTGGTCTTGTGACCCATTGTTCTCCCCCACTTTGCCTATGGGGGTGTGTCAAACTATATAGGTTATATTTGTGTAGGGTGTAGTGGGGTAGCCAATATGGGGTACATAACTTTTAGGGTTTCATATTTGTACCCAACTCTGATCTAGTTCAAACTGTCTCTAGTTTCTGACACCTCTCTGGTCAACCGAAATCATGCCTATCTCTCACTTATATTGCTAATTGTAAGGTTGGCTACATTGTTAACCAGAGGTTTGACCAGATGTTAGCAGAGAGCCCGGAATGTTTCCTTATACGCGCTGATAATGTGCTCAGTAAATAATGCCAAAATAATTCTTAGGGTGTGTCGAGTGAGTACATCTAAAGCTCATGCTGTGCGTTTGTCCCGTTGCGTAATGGTGAAAAATGAAAATTGCTTTGCAATGTTAATATCGTCGTGCACCAAGGTAGACGAACTGTAAACGTAAGCGGTTTTGGTTTTGGTGACGACTCCATTACAATAACTCTTAACCCTGAACATAGAGACGAGGACGACCCTTATGTTGTTCTGACTCAAAGTCACTTGGGCCAACATCATAGACATGCAAATCAGTCTGGTAACCCTATTCGATGGTATGCAAAACCGTCGATACCCCAGTTCTGCTGCGCAAAATTGTCTGGTAGCGCCACTCAAAACACTGTAACAGCTGACGCAGCACAGAAAAGGAAGAAAGTATGTGATAGAATCAGTTGCGTTTTCGATTTCTTATCTTCGTGGTTCTTCCGGCGTCTTGTTCGGCGCCTAACAAATATTCCTGCCGGCTACTATTTTCCGCTAAATGTGACGAAAAATCCACTGGAATGAAAGTCTACGGGGTCCATTTCGATAACATTAATTTGGACCAATATATTGCTACCGGGAATTGTAGGGGCAGGGCAGAAAAACAATAAAACCCCTAGCGACCTGGACGCATTTCTGGGAGGGATCAACCCTAAACACGGGAAAGGACATTGTTTTTAGGGTTGATGCCTCCCTGACGCATCCCTTTCCGATCGGGTTTTATTTTTTTCTTGGCCCGAAGAAATCACGTCTTAGCGCGAAGGCAAGCGCGGTAAAGATCAAATTTGAATTAAAAACGAACGCGCTTTCAGGGCAGCATGTCAATAACTTGAAAACAGAGGTAAGACGGTTACCACACTAATTTGCATGTCTATGATGTTGGCCCAAGCCACTTTGTCGTTTGAAGAACAACTGGCAATGTCGTTCATTGGCTCAGAAATTTACCGTACCTGAGCTGCTTGTTTCTGACGTGGTGTTTTATCGAAGGACGCAAGCCGCGTTTTCTTTGCCTAACCGACACGGCCGAAGCCGAACTCGCGAATCTGGCCGGGCCATGCTTCAATACGGAGAAAAGGCTTGGTGACGAGGCGCGACAAGTTCAAAGCTCTTGGTTAGTGGCGAAGCGCGACCTGTTAACCAATCATTCGCGCTTCACTTTACGAGCCGAGAGGGCTTAGCAAGCCCTGGGTTAGAACAAGGACGGTAAGGGTGACTCAAAGCGAAGGGCTTGAAGGCACTACATCGGAAGTTTTTTCTTGAATCACAACTAAGGACAGGGGAACATGTGTCCAACTCGTGTTCTGAAAGTCTTGTAACGGGAGTAAGGCTTCCCAGGGTCGGCTCTCCCACACCACTTGAAACCCCACCATTCGGTGACGTGGCGCCAGCGTCCTTTCACCTGCCTGATACTCTTTGCCTCACTAACAACCCAGATGATCAAGGCGGCTGGCATGCGCGCCGCCTTTCGACCCATCCCACGGCATGGTTTGAATTCCGCCCCCTATAGCCCTGTCCCTCACCCAACCTCGCCATAAACCCATCCCATGCCCTGCTCCTGAAATTCCAAATTCACCGTGCCGCCCATGCCTCGCTTTCTATCTCGTAACCAGCAGCTGAACCGCATCCACCCCAATACCACTCAAGGCGCGAGTCAACAGTAGCTCTCGCTCCACCGTGAGATCCGCCCAGGGCACAACACAACTTTCTCACGCTTCGCTCCCGTCGTAAAGAGTGCGTCTCCCGCGCTCGGAGCGTGGAAGCAAGGGTTCTTGAAAGACCAGTGGCGCGTGGACCAAGGGTTAGCTAGTAACCACGCAACCTCTGAATTTGAGCTGCACGCCGCAGCAGATAGTGATCAAGGGATCAACGCCCGCCGAGGCTTAGCCATTCCGCCACTGCGCTGTGGAATTCGCAACTTAGCAAATCTAGCTCTCGAAATAGTTCCCCAAGCATCCGAGGACATGCTTTCTCTATCTTGATCTGCGTAGATTGATCACGAAGCAGCTGAAAATCGCGTGACAGTCACTTTGGGAGTACGGCACTCGAGGGATTGACGGACAGCCCTCGTGTGCGGGGAGGCAACGGTTGGAAGAGGGGAAATGGGCGGTAAAGGGGAGGACGATGACGACCACAAGGTTCAGCCTACGCCGCCGCCGCAGCAGCAGCAACAGCAGGCGCAGGACGCTAAGGAAAAGGGCGGGAAAAACTCGTCATGCCATTGGACCCCCGAGGTGCGTGCGCCAGTAGGGCACGCACTGCAGGCCCGCTGAGCCTCTCGTCTGCGTGCCAGACGGAGCTGCTAAAGGAACGAGTCCTCATACCACGGCAGCACAGTTGTCGCCTTTCAAGGCGCCTAATGGCGTTCCAGCGTGTGTCATGCCGGTGGCGGCACGGCAAGTAGGCAGCGCGCTCCATCTGTCTCCTCACTGCTGCATGCGCGCGTAGCTTTTAACTTCCCTCACTGTCGCCGCCGCATTTGCGGAGCTGGATTGCGGGTTGGCCGCCGCAATTCTTTCAAGCCCGCTGCTTTGTCACGTGCGCTGGTCGAGGGCGAAGCAACCATTGGCCTACCCAAGTCTATTGTCTATAATGCTCTCCTCGATCACCCCGCTGTCTCGCTGCGTGTGCAGGAGGACAAGATTCTGCTGAACCACGTGATGCGCTACGGCAGCCGCTACTGGGGGCTGCTGCAAGCCACGGGGCAGCTGCCTCAGCGGGACCAGAAGTCGTGCTGCAACCGCTTCCTGCTCCTCAAAAAGTAGGTCGCCCCGCGCCGCCTTCTCCTCTCAGTCGTGCGCATTAGAATCCTTTTGCCCCGGCGTGTTACGAGGCTTGGGTCGAGTCTTCGTCGTCCTCGTCATGCACCCGTCCTCTTTCCGAACCCCCTTTCTTCACTCTTTCATTCTCTCGTTCTCTCTCGCTCTTGACCCTATGCATGTGTCTTTGCCAGGCGGTGTCTCGGGACAACGTCCGCTGTGGTCGTCGATGCTTCCCACGCCGCAGCGGCGGCAGGGCAGCCCGCGGCGCAAACTCCGTCAGCGCCGTCAGCACCAGCATCACCGGCACCGCAATCAGCGCCGGTAGTATCACCGCCCCTCGCGTCTCCCACTCTCCCATCACCAGCACCCGCAGGCGTGTCAGCAGCCGTCGGATCTGCCGGCCTTGCCATCGCCACGCGCATCCAACCGTCAGCGCTGGCCTCGTCTCCCGCCAGTGGGCCCCGTGCGGGTTCGTGCGGTGCCGTGAGCACCAGCGGTCTCGCTCCCTTGGGCTCACCTGCTCCTGCACCGGATTCTGCGCCACCGCTCTCGCCGTCTCTTTCGCCGTCTCCGTCAACCCTACCGGCTCCGCCAGCGCAACCGGTAGGGCAGTCGACGTTAGCACAACCCGGCGCTCGTGCGTCAGCGCAGGCGGTCGACCAATGTGCTCCCGCTAGCCATGTCCCGCCAGGAACGGATCTCCCATCACCGGGCGCGCGCGGAAACGCCGCCGCTGCAGGCGGGGAACTTCAGGATAGTGCGCAGGTGCGGGTGAAAGCGGAGGAGGAGTCGGCAGCGGGAGGGACGCTGGCAGACGCGGTAGCGGCAGCAGCCGCGGCGGCACTGCCGGCGCCGAGCAGTGTCGGCGCGGGAGTGAAGGCGGAGCAGTGCGATGCAGCCGGCGAGAGTGGGGTCTCTGCTTGTTGCGGGGATGGAGGTGTGTCAACGGGAGGTGCTGCTGACGCTGCTGGACCTGCCACAACTGCGTCTACCAGCGCTGCTGGTGGCAGCGGCACTAACGGCGGTGCGCGCATGGCACCCGTGCTTCTCACCAGTGTCACACCCGACATGTAAGCCGTAGTTGCCACCTTGACCCTACCTCGTGCACCTCGTGCCGCTCTTCCCTTCCATATCTTTCCCCCGCTTTATGCCTCTCCCCCTCTACCTCGCCCCGTTGTCCTACCACTTTCCCACTCTCCGTCTTTGCGTGGCCTCGTCCCCTCCTGCGTCCCTTCCCCGCACGTCCTTCACAGAATGTCCGCGGGGGCAGCAGTGGCGGCCGTGCCGCTGCCGTCGGTCATCGCCACGCCGTCCGAGCGCAAGCGCAACAACAAGGTCGTCGCGTGCCGCATCGCGCTGCTCCTACAGCAGGTCGCCCCGCGCTCTCCCTCCGCGCCCACCGCAGGCACTGCCGGCGGGGCTGCTCCTGCTGCGGCTGCTGCGGGCGCCACTGCCCCGTCTTCCTCCGCTGGTGCCGGCGCATCCACGGACTCCGCTTCCGCCCTCGCCACCTCTGCGCCTGCGTCCATCCGCGCGCCGGCGGCAGCAGCGGGAGGGGGGACGTCCGCCGACCTCGTAGCTACTGCGCATGGGTCCGCCTCTCCCGCTGCTTTCACTGCCCCCGGGTCTGGCGCGGCCGCGCAAGGGGGGAAGTGCGTGAAGACGGAGGGCGCTGACGTGGGCAGCGGAACTTCCGCTCGTTATGACCACCCCGCTCCGCCTGGTCAATGCGGTCACCACCACCAGCAGCAGCAAAGTGCAGCTTTCCAACAGGGTCAACAGGGTCAACAGGGTCAACAGGGTCAACAGGGTGTGTGCATCCTTCCGAATATTGCCGCGACTCAACACAGCGCGCACACGAGCGAGAAGGGGCGGGCGGGAAGAGCAGGGGCAGAGACGCGCCCGGGAGCTGCGGAAACAGGCAGCACGACACCGCCACCACCGCCCTTATCGCCCGCATTTCCTGCTGCTTCCCCCGACCACCTGGTGCGCTGCCACTCCGAACCGTGCACCTCTGCCGTTCCGCATGCGCCCGCCACGGCCGCTTCCGCCTCGCCGTTCTTTCCGCAGCAGTACCATCGCCCTTCCCCCGCCACCAGCCTTCCCGCTTCCATCTCCCCTCACCCATCCCGCTGTCCTGCGTCCGCCGCTGGCGCACGACTTGCCGCCGCGCACTCCGCGCATGTGTCCCCGTCCGGGGGAATGCACGCCGCGACAGCCGCTCCAAGCGCGGAGAATAGTACCCCGCCGGCCGCGCACCTTATTTCCCCGTTCAGTCAGCCCCCCGCCACTCCCACGTTTCTCCCCGCTTCTTGTCCTTCCGCCAACCGCGCGCCCTCCCCGCTCCTCCTTTCCCCCGCCGCCTTTCCGCTCGACGACCCCGCGCCCGTCTTCTCGTGCAACTTTCACCCTCCCGCCTTCACCAGCGGGGGCCCGCTGCCTCCGCCGCTTCCGCAATGCGCGGAACAGCCCCCCGCAGGTCAACCCCTAGGGCGGAGACCGCGCAGGCTAGCTTTCGGTGGCAGTTCCGCTGCAAATCCCGGCGCCTCTTCCGCTGGACCAACTGGCGGCCCTCCCGGTGCCGCTGCTATCGATGCTGACGTCATTGTGGGAGGTACAGCAACGGGCGGAGGACTGGGGACCGCGCGGCGGAAGCGCCAGGTCCGCAGCGGCAGCAGCAGTGGCGGAAGCAGCAGCGTGGGGCGCGGAGACGGCGGGAAGGATGGGGGAAAGAACAGGTGCAGCAGCGCGCGGGATGCCGCGGGCCGAGGGACCGCGACGGCGGAAGGCGCTGGCGCTGCGCGCGGAAAGACGGCGGAAGCGGAGGAGGAGCGGGGAAGAGCGGACGGGGGGGAGACGCTTGGGGATGCAGGGCGGAGCGGAAGCAGCAGCGAGCAGTGCGGAGGGAGCGGTGGAGGGGATGGGGAGTGGGAGCGAGGCGCGAGAGGCGACGTGAAGCGGCACGCCGTGGAGTCCGCGTCTCGGCCCGGCAGCCCCTCGCACGCCCCTCTCGCTCTTCTCGCGCCTCCCGCCCCCCCCGCGCCGCATGGCGCCTTGCCCGCTGCCACCGCACATGCCGCTGTGGGCGGACACATGTCCCCCGCCGTCGCTGGCTGTGTCACGCGCAGCCCGGGGAGCAGCGGGTCAGCGTTCTCCCCCGCCATGCGCGCACAGCAGACGCAGCAGCAGCGGCACAGATGCGACGGACATGGTACTCACGCACACGCGCACGCGCACGCGCACGCGCACACACACGCGCTTGCGTGCGCGCACGGACAGTCGCCCATTCTTGACCCCGCGCCCACTCCTTCCGCTCCTTCCCCATCGCCGGCACCCCCACCATCCGCAGCACCAGCGTCCCCCAACCGCCGGCTGGGCGCTTCTCGAAGCGCGCCCGTGACGCCCGCAGCAGGGTCCTCCGCCCTCGGCGCGCATCAACATCACCAGCAGCAGCAGCAGGAGCAGGAGGAGGAGGCGCAGCACGCGGCGTTGCACAAGAGCACGTCGGCGGACTCATTCCTCGCGGGCATGCGCTGCCTGCTTCCCCTGGGCCGCACCACCTCGCACCGCTGGTTCGCCCCCGCCGCTGCGCCTCTCGACGATGCGCCTCTTCCGCCACCGCAAGCGCCGCATCCCATGGGCGGGGATTCCAGCGCGGCACCCGCAGCAGCGGACGACATGGCGGTGTTCTCGCTGCCCTCTCCGCACCACCCGCTCGCCGCCGGTCGCCTACGCCCCCGCGCTGCGCCGCCTCCGCCGCTCTTCCTCTCCGCTTCCTCGTCCGCGTCCGCGCTTCAAGCGCTGGTGGAGGAATCATTCCCGGGCGGCCTGCGCCCTGCTGCGCTCGCCGCCGCTGCCGCTGCTAATACCCCTGTCGCCACGGATGCGGCATCCCCTCTGGCTGCAGGCGCGAGCGGGGCCGAGGTTGAGCCCTTTGGCGCGGGCGCGGTGTGCGAGGTGATGAGCGCGGAGGAAGAGGAGGCGGAACAGGAGCGCATGGCTGCGCGCGCCCTGCTGCGCGTGCTGGAGCTGTGGCCGCACGCCATGCTCGGACTCGAGGGGGAGGGGGATGAGGAGGACGGGGAAGACGGCGAGGAGGAGGGGGATGCAGCAGGAACCAGTGCCCCTGCAACTGCTGCCACCGCTACGAATGCCGCTCCACCTCCCACTGGCACTGCTCGTGCCCGCTCCCCACTGTCCCGACCCATCCCCCCCGCCTTTTCAACTCTCACTTCTGCTGTGCTGGATTCCCATGCTGCTGCCTGCTCTCCGACTGCTGCGTCCTATGCTGCAGCTCCTCCTGCTGCCGCAGGTGATGTCACAGCTGCTGCCAGCCCTGCTTCGAGTCCTGGGGGTACCGCTGCTGCCACTCGTGCAGGCACTGGCGCCACGACCAGCACTCTCGTCTCACACAAAGAGGTCAACCAGGGAGAGGTCGTCAGCGCTCTGCACACTGCCACTGCTGCTGCTGAGGCGAGCAGCGCAGCACGGCCGGGTGGCGTGGGGGGTGCAAGCACAGGGAAGGGCGGGGAGGCAGCAGGTGTGGGTGGAGGCAGTGTTGGGCAGCAGCAGCAGCAGGCTCCTGGAGGTGTCTTGCAGTTGGGTGGAGGTAGGGACGACGCAGGGAATGGTGGGAATGGCATGGAAATGACAGGACGGCAAGTGAATATCCTGCCACAGCAGCGGGAGGAGGATGGGAAGCACGAGAGGCAGATGGCAGGGCAGAAGCGTGTGAACCCAGCGCCTCTGGACCTGCCTGTTGCCAAGCGACTGGCCATGGCCACCCACATGCCCCTCCGCCATGCTGTTGTTGCTGCTGCACCTGCTGCTGGGAAGTCGTCTGCCAGCACTGCTGCTGGTGCTGCTGCTGCTGCTGCTGCCGCTGCTGCTGCGGCTGCTTTGGGGTTTTCTGCATGTGAAACAACTGCAGCAGCTGCTATGGCTGGGGAAACTGCTCACAGTGGTGGTGGTGGTGGTGTGGTGGTGGTGGTGGTGGTGGTGTGATGAATGTGCTGGGTGCGAGTGGCAGCGGTGGGCGGGTTGGCTCTGGATGGGCAGTGGAAGAGGATGACAGTGAAGAGGAGACAGCACGCGCTGAGAATGAAACCCTTGCACTCACCTACCCTCACCCATCGCCTACAGCTGTCTCCATCCACCAGCAGCACCAGCACACACCGCCCGCTCTTGCAGCGTTCACAGCCAGTGCTACTGCCGGCACTGGCGGCACTGGAGTGGGAGCAGCAGCGCACACAGTGGGCTGTGACGAGGCATCAGCGGCTGGCAGCAGCAGGAAGGTGAGGGGCGCGTGCGGCAACAGCAGTAGCAGCAGCAGCAGCAGCAGCAGCGCGCGGGCGGGGAGCGGAGTGAGTGAGAGTGTGATGGAGTACTTGCAGACCATGGAGGACCTCCCAGGCGCGTCTGTGCTGCTGCTCGACAAGCACAGTGACTCGGACAGTGACGGCAATGGCGCTCTGCCGGGCTGTGGTGCGGTGGGTGGCGAGGCAGCTGCAGGGGGACTTCAGCATGCGGAATCACCTGCTCCTCCTGGCCCGTTCCTTCCTGCTCCTGCTGCTGCTGCTGCTGCTGCGGTTGCTTCTGCTGTCGCTGCCACTGCTGCTGCTGCTGCTGCTGCTGCTGCTGCTGCTGCTGCTGCTGCTGCTGCTGCTGGTGGTGGTGGCAAGGCAGTGTGTGAGGCGATGGCAGGGCAGGAGGAGGGGGGAGCAGCAGGAGGTGCCATGGGGTGGCACATGGACGTGGATGCTGCTACCGCCACCGCACACACACCTGCTGCTGCCCCAACCGCCAAGCACGCAGTGCTACCACCCGCTGCTGCAGGCTCGCAGGGGAAGCCCTCTCATACACCTGACGCCTGTGTGACTCTTGCTGCCTGGCCGCGCCTCAATGGTGCTGCCAATGACCCTGCAGGCGCTGTCGCTGGTGGGATCACTGGTAGGGGAGCCATGGGTGCTGCAGCTGCTGCTGTTGGAGGGGCCGTGGGTGCAGGGGTGGTGGAGAGGAGCAGGGCGCGTGGCAGCATGGGGGGGTGCTGCTTGGACGTGGATGCACAAGGGGTGGGTGCAGGTGTGGTGGGTGCACATGCACACTGTCACTGCCTGTGCTCAAACCTTGGCTTCTGATAAAAACAAGAAGAAAGGGAGGTGCGGGAGAGCGAGAGAGCGAGAGAGAGCTTAGAGAGAGAGAGAGTCTCGCTCTCGATCTAGAGCTCGATCGAGAGAGACGAGATAGCGAGAGATAGCGTAGAGCTAGTAGCTCTTATCTCTCTAGCTCTTCTCTCTATCTATCTCACTCTCTCTCTCTCTCTCTCTCTCTCTCTCTCTCTCTATCTCTCTCTCTCTCTCTCTCTCTCTCTCTCTCTCTCTCTCTCTCTCTCTCTCTCTCTCACCCTCCCCCCATTCTACATCCCTCCCTCGTTCTCCCCACTGCAATAACCCATCAGGGTGGGGATAGTGCTGCACGGCCTGTGGGGAAGGCTCGTGAGTCTATCGCCGCTTCACCTTGGTGCTTGGGGTTGGCCCATGTGCATTGAGCCCTTGAATTGAGCCCACGTGGCTACTCGTGTTTCTTTTAGCTTGGTGTTTCCTAGGTTACTGCTTTGTCTTCATTCTTGGCAATAATAATGCCTTTTTCGTAGCTGAGAGTATTGTGGGGGCTCCCTCGTTGAAACAACAGCGCTGCAGTGAAAATGATTCAAAACATGCAATGGAATTTCAACTTGTTGAAAGCAAGTGGCACAACCCAACCAATCCTGCCAAGATACAGTGTGTTAGTGATTCTATGAGAAAGCAGGATGGCACAAATACTGCAATCACCCGGACATAACACCCGGGGGTATTATGATAACCACAGGGAAAAAATGGGGGGGTGCTCTCAACGGAAAATCCTATATAATACCCGGGTGGTTATATATGGCACTTTTTAGTGTAAGAAAAAAGTTTAATTAGACAATTTGGGTGTTTCAATAGTCGTTTTAACATCACATGTTGAGGCGAGAATTCGCGTTTTGGCGAGAATGTGAGTTTCACCTCTCGGGCCACGTGCAGCGGAAGATTCGCCAGCGTGGCGACAGCGAAATTGTGGAAGGGAGGGAATCTCGGTAGATTCGAAGTGAAAGTGCACGCGAAATTTCATTCAGGAAGCGATATTCCCGTAAAAAATCTGACTCGATAACAGCTATAATAGGGTTTCGTAAGAAAAGGGGGGTGTTATAGAGAATCATCCCAAAAAGGGGGGTATAGTACAAACGAGGTCGGCTATAGCACCCCCCCCGCACAAGCTACCCGGGGGTGTACTATTACGGGGGGGTGTTTTGTCCGGGTGATTACGGTAATCTATCCCTCTGCAAACCACTTGCTTCTCTCTGCAAGCGGCTGCTCACAACTAGCTAGGTTGATGAAACAATGAGCAGGCCGCACAGGAGCAATTTTGAGCAGACAGGACAGGTGGAACCACCACAAGCAGCCAAGGCACCGCAACAATGCAACCTTCTGAAAGACGCACCGGTAAAGTGCCGCCCTTCGGCATCACCCAGTGTCACACGCACCGCTTCCACCTCTTCCCCCACGCTCTTCCCTCGTTGAAATTGGCTAGCCTGGGAGAAGCAGCGGAGGCACCTGGCAACTGTGATCGAAGCGATGGCCTGCCGTTACAAACACGACACACCCACGGTGCCGCCTGCCGGCACACAATACACAGCCCACGCCACGCCACGTCTCACTGCTCGTTGTTGTCAACGATTGCTGTTCCGAGTACACCGTGACCCCTCTCTCGTTATACCTACATCGTGCATGCTGGAGCTTCGCTGTATGCAGGCAGCTGGAGCAGCCACCTCACTCCCAACCATGCCTGCCTCCATCATCACATTCCACACCTCACCCTCCTTTTCCACCCTGCCACACCATACACCGCACACAGGACCTTCGCCTGGCTTTCCCCCTCACGCACTGCCCATACCCCTCCTCCATTGGCCCCCCCATCACCCTCGCTACTCTGCACCGCCTTGGGCCTCAACCGTCGCCCCCGTTCCCACCCATGCCGCAACGCCGTCCATGCAAGAGCAGGAGAGGAGGGGCGCGGGGAGGTGAGGTGAGGTCAGGCGTCGTGGTCGTCGTCGGGGTCGGGGCGGCGCGCAAAGAAGTCGTCGACCTGCAGGTTGGCATCGCCGTGCGGCACCACGTCCTCCGCCTCCGGCATGAACAGCAACCCCACGCTCGCCTGGCGCCGCGCCACAACCACGGAGTGGCGCGGAGGGAATGATGTGTTGGGAGGTGGAGTGGAGGTTCAATACTGGTAGCAGGGGAGTCTTGCCAGTTTGTTTTGGAAACACAACGATGGAGTGAAGGAAGAACGAGGGAAGGAAAGCAGAAGGTGGGCGAGAGAGTGAGTGAGTGAGTGAGTGTGTGTGTGTGTGTGTGAGGGAGAGGGAGGGCAGGCCACTCACCTTGCAGTCGAGCAGGGGGTCAGCAGTGTCCTCGGCCAGCAGCACACACCCATGCGCCTTGAGCCACTCGCAGCACTCGTGCACCGCTGCACCACCATCCTCCCCTCTGCCCTCCACACTCCCGTCCCCCTGTGTGGCGGGCTGTGCGGTGTCCTTGTCATCGCGGCTATCCCCGAATGCCAGCACGTGTGCGATGTACTGCACCGGCAGCGACGGCCGGTACGCCTTTGCCATGCTCTGCACCGCCTCAAACCGCTGCTTCTCCACCTGCATGTCTGGAGGGGGAATGGCGGCGCGGGAGGAGGCAGTAGCGAAGGTGGGAGTGGGGAGGGAGCAAGGTGGGAGAGGGTGAGACTGGCACCTCGCAGCACACATGTCCCTCAGGTACTTTTGAGCGCGGGTGGGAAATGGGAGGTCGGTTAATGCAGAGCAGGCAGGAAGTGGGAGAATGGTGCCAGGGAAGTGGGAGCACGTTGAGGAGCCAGGAGATGGGCGATGAGTCGCTGCCATGGGGTGCTGCTTGGGTGGTGGTGCATGTGAAGGGGTTGTGTGTGTGTGTGTGTGTGTGTGTGTGTGTGCGTGTGTGTGCCTCTGTGTCGGTGTGTGTGTGCATGCGTGCGTGCGTGTGTGTGCTTGTGTGTGTGTGTGTGTGTGTGTGCGTGCGTGCGTGCGTGTGTGTGTGCGTGCGTGCGTGCGTGCGTGCGCGCGCGCGTGTGGGAGCGCGCATGTGTGTTTGTGGGAGTGTGCGTATGTGCGTGCGCGTGGGTATGAGTGAGGGCGAATGCGCAAGGAGCGAGGGCGCACCCATGAGGAGCTGGATGAGGGTGGGTGCGTGGCGGTAGAGCGAAAAGAACTTGCTGTAGTCGCGCCGGCTGAACGCCTCCCGCACTCTCAGCGCATGCGCCATCGTGCTGTCCTGCCGCTCCTCCGCGGTCACCCTGGGGACATTGACAGGTGGGGTAGGGTGGGGGAAAGGGGGGTGGTGGGCAAGGAGGAGGGGCGAAACAGAATGGGCTGCTGAGCCTTGTGCGCTCTCACATGCAGCTTGCTTGCTTCGAAGGGTGTGTACACGCCTTTGCCCCGTCACATGAAACCATGGCCACACACAGAGGCACATAAAAGCATGCTCACAAACAGGACACGCCGTGCACACAAACTCACTCTCCCCTTGGCCTTCCCTTCGAACAAAAACACTCTCCGAAAAAAATCACGCAAGTCACTCCGCCTTTATACACACTCTCTCATCCCACCACACTACTCCGCACACTGAACAGCGCACACGCACAGTACACATGCCACACCATGCACACATTTTCCCACACGCAACCAACGCATACACCTGCCCCCACTGCATCTGCCCCCACTGCAGACACATTCACGATCTGGCATCAACAACAGCAGCACGGCACGTGAGCCAAACACCCTTCACGCCCCTCCCTCCTCACGCACCTGGCGATGGCGTGCTGCAGGTCGTAGCGCGGGCCCTGCGAGAGCACGTTGTGCAGCAGCGCGTACGCGCGGAACTCGCCCCTGTGCCCGCGCAACCCCTCCGCGTACAGCCCCTTCAGCTGCGCCTGGCACTGCACTCACTCGCTCCCAGGGCAGCGCGAGAGAGAGCAGGGAGAGGCGAGAGGCACGAGGCACGGTGACAAAGGGAGGGGTGTGGAAAGGGAGGCATGAGAGAAGGAAGGAAGTAACCGGAGGGATGCAAGTGGGTGGGTGCGGGGAATTCGGCCGGGGTGTGGCAGACCGGGTGAGCTTAACTGCGGCACATGCGGAACGGGAGATGCAGCTGCTCTGTGCACAAACAAGGCACAGCCCGCGCACAGACAACATTTTCCCAAACTAGCCTTAACCGTAGCACCAAATGCCAGTGAACGACACGGGGAGGTGGACGTGAAGGGGCATGAGGGGCAGGGCAGGTGTGGTGGGTTTACCTGGTTGAACTCGGGCATGTCAGCTGCTTCCAACGCCATGCGCGCATGCACCTCATACACCTGCCGGCCGTGCCAGCACACGGCCACACACACAAGCACATGCACACATGCACGCACGCATCCACACACACATGCACGCACACATGCACGCACATACACGCATGCATTAACATACAAGCACACACACACGCATACATACACACAGACACAAGACACACGCACAGATACGAAAAACAAACGAGGGCAAGGGAGACAGAACCCGCTCGCATCAACCCAATGAAGCACCACCCCCCGTTCTCACCCCCTCTCCTCGCACACCCACACCATTCCTCCACCCCTGCCCCTCAAGCCCTCCCCACCCCACAACCCATTCCGGCACACCACGCCATCACTCCCCTAACACGCATCTCCCAGGCATCTTGCCAGTCCGCTCACCACCCTATCCGTCCTCGCACCTGCACGGTGAACTCATTCCGGATGCGCTGCACGGTGAGGTCCTGCCGAATGCTCTTGAGCTGGTCGCACCGCCACAGGTACCCGCGCTTGCCGCCCTGCCCCCCCGCGCCCGCCTCCTCATCCTCCGCGCCCCCCTGCGAGTGCGCTGCCCGCACCATGGCCAGCGCCTCCTGTAGCACGTCCAGTGGCCGCACCTGGCAGGGGGGAGAGAGAGAGGAGGAGAAGCGGGACGGGGGAGGGAAAGGGAGAGAGGAAAAGGGGAAGGGAGGGGTGGACGAAAAAGGGGGAAGAGAGGAGGAAGGGAGACGGGAAAAAGGAGATGAGATGGGATGGGTGAAAGATAATAGTATGAGGCAGACATAGACATAGCAAGGCGCACGATAGGCTATGGCGAGAATCACTAGAACGCAGCAACGCACAACACAGCAGTGGGGCATGGCGGAGAGCGGCGGGGCGGGGTAGGGCAGGGCAGGCATACAGTGGAGGGGTCGGGGGCAGCAGTGAGGCGCAGGTAGCTCTTCTCGACCTTCCTGCATGTGCCCTTGATGGTCAGCATGTCCCAGTCCATGTCCTCCACTGCCCCGCCCCCCACCCCCACCCCCACCCCACCACCCGCTGCAGCCGCCGCCGCAGCAGCAGCGCGGCCCTGCCTAACAGCACGCGCCAGCGCCAGCGAGTGCGCCTTGGCTCTTCGAATCGACGTCCTCACTGCCCCAGCCCCTCCCCCCGCCACTGCTCCTACCCCGCCCCCGCCCCTCCCTCCCTTCCCGCCCTTGCCTCCCCTCCCACCGCCTCCCCCTCCTCTCCCTCCTCCCTTCCCACCGCCCTTCCCCAAGCCCTCGTCTTCCTGCCCTAGTGTGCCTTCAAATCTGGCGGCTCGTTGCAACCGCCGTGCTTTCTCCCCGGCGCTCTCATTCACGCCTGCACCAAATGCACCGCCACTGCCTGCAAAGTACCCCTCCTTCAGCTCCTCCGCTATCCTGTCCGTGTCCCCCATGCCCACTGCACCCCCTCCCACTGCTCCTGCTGCTGCCGCTGGCCCCCTCCCTGCTGCCGCTGCCACGGCTGCTGCTGCTGCCACAGCTGCCGCGACAGCGGCTGCTACCCCCCCTGGTGTGCTTGTATCGGCTGCTGCAGTGTCAGGCGCCCACCTGCTCGCCCTTCCCTTGCCTCCCCGCCCTCCCTGCTGCTGTTGTTGCTGGTTTGATGCGCGAAACCACGAGGAATGAAAGGCAGAGAGAGGGGTTGGAGCATGGGTGGGGTGAGGCTATGAATTGCAAGAAAAAGAAGAGAAAAACAAACAAACAAACAAACAAACAAACAAGCAAGCAAACAAACAAGCAAGCAAACAAACAAACAAGCAAACAAACAAACAAGAAAACAAACAAACAAGCAAACAAGCAAGCAAGCGAACAAAAAAACAAGCAAGCAAGCAAACAAACAAACAAAAAAAAAACAAACAAAAAAACAAACAAACAAACAAACAAACAAACAAACAAACAAACAAACAAACAAACAAACAAACAAACAAACAAACAAACAAACAAACAAACAAACAAACAAGCAAACAAGCAAGCAAACAAACAAACAAGCAAGACCAAAAGAGGTGGAGAAGGAGCAACAAGGCAAGCGTGAGAAGGAGCAACAAGGCAAGCGTGTGAAGGACAGCGTACGGTTTGAATGGGCGAGGGAGCAGCAGCGGGCGAGGTGGGTTGGTCGATGGGGTCTCCCCAGCGCGAGCGCTTGGCCTTGCGCGAGGGCGTGGGGGACGACGCAGATGGGGACCTGTGGCGAGGGCGGCGGGTGAGGGTGGAGGGCGAATGCGTGCGTGAGTGGGGCGCGTGGGAGAACCGGGAAGAGGGGGGAGGTAGTAAGGACACTGCAAGACAACACAGCTGAGGTGTTGGGTGGAGAAGGAGGGGCAGCAGCAGCAGGGGAAGGAGAGGCAGAACGAGGGAGCAGCGAGGCAGGTGACGGCAGCACAGACATGATGAGGTGGCGTGGACTCACGTGGTGGCAGCGGGGGCGGGGGCGGTGAGCAGCAGCGAGGGCAGCGGCTCTGTATCCCAGTTCTTGGTGAAGAGCGTGCCGTTGCGCGCTGCTTCCGTTATCATCTGCACCGCACCGCACCGCACCCCGTGGTGCCATGGCACAGCATGGCACAGAGAGCATGGCAGGGAGGGGTGGAGGGGAGGGTTGGAGAAACAGACCATGAGGGTAAAATGGAAGAGGGAAAGAGGAGTGGGAACAGAAAGCAAGATCAAGTCGAGGAAGGGGGGAGAGGGTTGAAGAGGGATGTGAAGAAAGCGTACTGGTAACTTGATCCACCCTTTAAAACGAGCATGACATGCGCACATGGGTGGCACAAGCAATAAGAGATGAGAGTACCAAGATTTGGTAGTGCACAGCATGATGGCACTGATGCCCACAGCACGCACAGACACACACATGGCACTGCCACGGACAAACAGCAACAACAACAACAACAACAGCAACAGCAATAGCAACAGCGGCGGCGTCAGCAGCAGCAGTGGCGTCAGCAGCAGCAGCAGCAGCAGCAGCAGCAGCAGCAGCAGCAGCAGCAGTAGCAGCAGCAGCAGCAGCAGCAGCAGCAGCAGCAGCAGCAGCAGCAGCAGCAGCAGCAGCAGCAGCAGCAGCAGCAGCAGCAGCAGCAGCAGCAGCAGCAGCAGCAGCAGCAGCAGCAGCAGCAGCAGCAGCAGCAGCAGCAGCAGCAGCAGCAGCAGCAGCAGCAGCAGCAGCAGCAGCAGCAGCAGCAGCAGCAGCAGCAGCAGCAGCAGCAGCAGCAGCAGCAGCGGCGGCGGCAGTGGCGGTGGCAGCGCGTGTCCCCCAGGGCAGAGAGAGCACCTGCTTCATGAGTCGCTGGCTCTCCTCCTTGTGCTGCGCTGTGGTGCAGCGCGCCAGCACTCGCTCCACATACGCTGCTAGCCCGGGGGGGAACTTGCCCGGCTGGCGCCCACGCCACCATTCATGGGGGGGGAGGGGCAAGAGGAGGGAGAACATGCACGTTGGAGCATGGATGATGGAAGAGGGAGGGAGCGAGGGACGGAGGGCGGAAGGATTTCAGAGGAAAATGCAGTGGTGGAGTGTGTGAGTGAACGGCAGCGAGTGGCAGAGAGGTGAGGTGAATAGTGCACATGCTGTGATGTGACGGTCCCTGTGCACACACATTCAAACGCACACCCACCCAGTTCCCAGGCAACACCCAGATAGACGTGTGCGCGCGTTCCCATACACATGCACACACGCATGAGCACACGCGCACAGAAGGCTGGCACACACAGGCACCTGCCCTCCACCGCGCACCACACCACACCGCACCCCTGTGCACCTGGATGGCAGCATCAGCAGCCTCGTCCACACTGGTGGCCTTGTTCCCCCCCTCGTCCTCCACAGACACATACGCCACCCCGCCCCTTTGCCCTCCCCCCCCTCCCTCACTGCCGCCCTCCCTGCCGCCTCTCCCTCCCGCTGCTGCTGCTGTGGTGGCAGCAGAGGAGGCGGAAGAGGGAGTGGAGGCGAAGCGGGGGTTGAAGGGGATGTGGAACTTGGATTGCAGAGCGCTGCTCGCTGCCTTCATCTGCTGCTGTTGTTGCTTCCTCTGCGCCTGCGCATGTGGAACCCACGGTGGTGGTGGTGGTGGTGGTGGTGGTGGTGGTGGAGGTGGTGGAGGTGGTGGTGGTGGTGGCGGTGAGATGGTGGTGAGATGGTGGTGATGCGTGACGACACACAAACGAGTTGCAAGGGAGGAAAAGAGAGTAAAGCGCTTTTTTCCTTGCAACCAGACTCATTTCCTTGCCTTCCTTGCTCCAGGCTGAGGAGGCAGAGCAGAACAACTCAGGACGCCATTGGCCATACACACACGCACGGGCGAAAAAAACTTAGCCGTTACTAAGCGAGAAAATGGAGTTCTTGATGGAGGATACCTACGGAAAAAAATACCATGGTTTTGATCACCAAGCCCCTGAGTCCCATATTTTATTTATTTGCCCTTTATCAGAATGCTTATAATGAAAATAGCTTAAAATTAGCTCAATATATAGAAGATTGTAAAAAAAAAAAAAAAAAAAAAAAGGTAGAAAAAGTCGGGGGGTAAAGCATGATACTTTGTTAGTACTTAGGAAAACCAATTCGCCTAGTGTATGAAGCAAAGACTCGTGTCTCTTGCTCCACTGTGCCTACTTTGTTGCCAGGACAGTTCATGTATGCAACGTGATTGCTACAGCATGAAGCAAGTGCGGTACCTGTGCATTGGTGTACTGCCATTTGAAGTACGGAGCATTGCCGTCCGCCCCCTGACCCGCCTTGCCATTCTGCCCCGCTCCTGCCCCTGCCGCCCCACCACCACCTGCCTCAGCGGGTGTCATTGCAGCAGCAGCCGGAGCAGTGCTGGCAGCAGCAGCAGCAGCAGAGGCGGCATAGGCAGCAGCATAAGCAGCAGCAGCAGACGGGTACTCTCCATACGCCTGAGCCTGGGCATGGCTATGCGCGTCTGCCTGTGCTGCCTGTGCTACGGGTGCATGCTCTGCTGCCTGTGCCTGTGCCTGTGCTGGGTGCCACTGTCCGTTCCACCATATACCCGCCGGGGCCACAGCCGCATATGCTGCTGCTGCCACCCCCGCTTCATGCTGCTGCTGCTGCTGCTGCTGCGGATATTGACTAACCGCCATGCCCTGCTGCCCCCCCTGCTGCTGCGCCTGCCCCTCTCCCCCATACCCCCACACTGTTGCCCCATCCTGCGCTGTTGCTGCTGCAGGTTGCGCTGGGGGGGGTGGCGGGGGAGGCAGGGGGGGTGGGGAAGCAGAAGGGGGAGGGGGAGGAGGTGGCGCGGGTTCCGCCCCGCCTGCTGGGGGAGGAGGCGGAAGGGCGGATCCGGGGGTATAGTAATAGGGCGAGGGGAAGGAAGTGGGCGCAGCGGTGGCGGAAGGCGCAGCAAGGGGTTCCGCGCCAGGGGGGGCAACGTCGTCCGGTTGGTCAGTGGGGGGAGTAGGGGGAGTCGGGGCACCGGGAGGAGGCGTGGGGGCGGAAGGGGGAGCGGGAGGATAGGCCTGGGGCGACGGGTAGGGGTATGCAGCGTAGTGTGCGTACGCTGCTGCGGCTGCTGCTGCCACTGCTGCTGGATCCTGGGAGGGGGAAGCGGCGCATGGGGTTAGGATGGGACGGAGATGGTATCAGAGGCGCGAACTGGGGTGTGGCCACTGCGTGCGTGAAACGAGATGAGACAGGGAGGGGGGCAGGGGTTGCGGATAGGGGGAAGAGAGATGGGAAAACACAGTAGAGAGAGAAGGGCAGTGTGGGGGAGGGGGGGAGGAAGGTGGACGTGGGGGGTGGGATGGAGAACACCGGCGTCTGCAAGCCTACCTGCGCTTCCTGAGGCTGCTGTTGCTGCTGTTGCTGCTGCTGTTGTTGGAGTTGTTGCTGTTGTTGCTGATACGCGTATGCATACCACGCATCATACGACGAGCCTTGCCCATACGCCGCCGCCTGCTGCTGTTGCTGCTGCTGCTGTTGCTGTTGCTCCTGCTGCTGCTGCTGCTGCTGCTCCTGTTGCTGCTGCTGCTGCTGCTGTTGTTGCTGCTGCTGGCGCTGCTGCTCCGCGTAATGCAGTGCCATGTTCTGGTAGTACGCGGCGTAGGCGTCAGACACGGGCGCCGCTGCTGCCGCTGCTTGACCCTCGCTGCCTGCTCCCCCGCTGCCGTCGCCTTGATGCGCCATGCAGGCCGCGACAGTGTGAGAGGAACGGACACTGGCCGAGGTGCGTGGGGCGACCTTGTGTGGAGGATGACGTCACGCTGCTACGCGGTTACTCTGTTACGCTGTGCGGTGCTGTGGTTGCGTCACTTCCCCGCTGCGGAGAAACACAAGTGCCAACGCGATTCAACTGCGGCACTAGCGGCAGAACCCGTTTCCGGGATGGAAAGCGGTCTGCCAGTACGGGCTGACTTGACATCGACGGATGCGACGCGGACGGCGGGAAACCGCAGTTTACGCCGAACGACCAGGGGGGTAGGGGGGGAGGGGGGGGGGACGTCGAATAAGCGTGTGTATTCCTTCGCCTCGGCACCATCCAACGCGGAGTCAGGGCAGAGCGCAACCAAAGACCATGTATTCTGGAAGGAAACCCTAAACCTCGTTCTCGACGCGCAGTGGTCCACCTGAGGCCCTAAATCGGCGCGACACGGAGCCCTAGACGCGCCGCTGGTCGACTGCTGCTGCGCCGCGTGTTGTGCGCTGGCGGCTGATTGGCTAATCGGCTAACGAATCCGGTAGACTCGAGCGCAACACGGGGAGCTGGTCCGTACAGACACACGAGGGTCCAGATGAGCGACGCGGATTGAAGCTGAAACCGACAGCTAATGGCGGGCGATGGCGCGAGGCGAGGCGAGACGGCATGCTTGTGACTATAACAGGGGTTCGCTAGCTAGTCAGCGCATGGAATGCGCCGCACACCGCGGGATTAGCCGGAAATTTATGACGATTGCCGGAAGAGTAAATCCGCAAAGTCATGAGTGTCAGAAGGCGATGCAGGAGGTGGACGGGACGGCGCACCTCGGTGATACTCTCCCGACTCGTTACTCGTGCTTACACGGAACTATTGCATCCCGTTCAGCAGTTAATCCGCGATGCGTATGACAACTACCAGAATAAAAGCCCTTGAAACTCCTATGCCCGCTGCTGATACGTATGAAGACGGGCGGGATGACGGCGATCCAGCAGGCATGAAGCAACGTGGTGGTAGCAAAGCACGGCCATTGGCGGGATGTGCCTCTTCCAATCCAACCCTCCCTCTCACTCACTTGCCTTGACGGTGCTTGCCTGGTTTTGGGATTCACCTTTGCCAAATTCTTGGCTCCCCTAAACAGTGCTCCGAGATATCTAATCTGTGGATCTAATGCTAATCAACTGTACACATGACATATATGTATGTTAACACACCCCTTAGGCTAGATAAGGGTAGCATGCAGTATCGAGAACGAATGCGAAGAGTCAGAATTGACTCGAAGCGTCAGACGGTTGGGGTGCATCTGGACCGTCGGAGCAGACGTCATCGGGCAGCTGAAGGTAAGAAGGATTTGGCAGGAACAGTTTCGTAACTGTACGCGCCGCACGGTTAGGAATGAATCTGAATAAGGGAATGTACCCCTTAGAGTACATGGCTAGCTAGGTCAATTCGAATTCCTCTGTACTCTTATTCATATCCTTGTATTTGCATGTTTTAATTCATCTCAAGCATTTTACATTCAATCTGCTATTGAGGTCAACGGCGCACCATCACTATCCAGTTGCGTGCGAACCTTCCTGAGGAGATCCTAGAAGCGATAAACTTCTAATTGCAGCATGGTATGAGAGCGACTCGGGAATCCTTCGCACAGCCACTCCCGAAATCCCGGCACACGATCGCGTGTGAAAGTGGCCGGAGGATCTGGTGGTCAGACAAATCTGACGGCTGAAGCGCAACCCAATCAAGCTGCGATAAGCGAGGAAACGACGACTATCGGAACTGAAGTCCTCGCACAACTTCTTCAGCGACTCACCAGCTTGGAGCAAGGGCTCCAAACATTGCGGAACAGCGACGCGGGAACCTCCTTGCAACCTTCTCAACCAGCCCCAAATGGCCAGAACGCCGCCCCGCACACTTTCTCCCTCGACACAAATGGTTCAACCCCCAAGACTCCCCGTCCCAGTGAAGAGGCAATTCTCTCTGCGTAATCAAGGTTTCTCAGTATATCAAAAATAAAGACAAGTGTGTGTTTTGACGGCAGAGACTTTTATACCTTGAGCTTCGAGCTGGAGCTCCAGCTGCAGAACGCTCAGATTTTTCACTATTTCGACGGGAGCTACGCGGAGCCTGCTGAAGATACCGACGACGCCAGGACTAGGTACTATAACGAGTCCTTGATGGTGTACGGCATCCTCCTGCGCAACATGTCGCCGGCGGAGCAGTTGAACATCCGTTCGTACAAGTCTTTGCCCGCTCCAGCCCTCGACGCTTGGCGCCACCTGAACGGTGTGTATCAGCCGAAGGACTCCGTTTCTTCGAGCCGGCTGCTCCAGCAGCTACTAGAGACCAAAATGGCCATAGGGGAGAAGGCC